TTGATGCTGTTTGGTGGAATTAAGAGTCAGACTGCTTTCTGACAGACAATGTAGGTTTAGTGGGGAGTGAAGGAATAGCTAGGAAGCTGAAACTTTGGTGAAGGAGCCTTGTTGACACTGTGTAATGAATAGATATCACACTGTGTGGGATATCTATTCATTATGGCCCTCGAAGTACATTGCAAAATTAAAATGGCCCTTAATGGACAAATGGTTCTTCACCCCTGGAATATTTGAATTCATTTAAATTTGTAATATAATATTCATAACAACAGAACCTCTGAGTATCCTAGCCTAGCTTATTCTAGTAGCCGGCAGAGTGTAATCTTATGATTTGTTGTTGTTGATTTGGACATTTTATTTGTGAGAGACATAACATTCTCTTCATAATATCAGATAAACTAAAATTGGACACAAATTTGTGTAATTCACACAGAAAAATCAAGATTTTGTTTTTAATATATTTTAACCATTTTTAACGTGAACCACACACACACACACACACACACACACACACACACCTCCATGATGAATTAAGCAGATTGACAGCTCTGAGCTCATACAAGACCCTATTTTAAGTGGTTGCCATGCCAGCTTCACAGCAGTCAGTGGCTCCATGTTACACCACAAGCTCTTAGAGCAGCTCCATGAATTATTCACCACCTCTAAGAGGTAAAAACAGAATCCTCACTTTTGGTATTTTTGGGGAAATTCTACCTCCCTGGTTTGAAGGAAAAAGAGGCAACAGTTGTGACAGATTCTCTCTGACTTTGAAGATAGCACTCATCCTCAATGAGCCAGTTTTAATGAACAGGAGGCAGAAAGCAGGTCAAACCTCCCACAATCCTCTCTGCTGCATCTTGGCCTCGTTTGCAATTCCAATTGAGTGTTGTTGATGATGATACCGCTAATCACTTACGATTACAAAATCGCCGCGGAGGCAAAGAGCTGTCACTCTGGGATCTTCTCCCAGATAAACACACACAAACAGAAAGGCTGGACTTCAGTAATACATACACACACAGCAGTCGATGTTTTAACTGAGCGTTCCACATAAAATGAATCTTCAATCATTCCTTATGCGATGATCTTCCACTTTCAGCAACAGCTCTAATGTGGAACCTTTAACAGTCGCTCACAGTTTGTCTTAAAGAATAAGCAGTCCTTGATTTAGCTTATTGTTTGTTAAAGATGGCTTTAGTGACATGTGTGCTACCTTTCAAAATTAAATTCAGAAAATGTTTGTTGGAGGCATTATGATCTAAATCAGACACAGATCAGATTTTCTGAAATGCGACCTCAGTCTGAACAGCCATGTGAAACATCAGAATTCAGCTCTAGATCCACATTCTTCACAATTATGCGCAGGCGAGGGGGCGGGCCCTGACAGATGTAGTTGAACACCCTGAAATTCTGGATGAAATTTGTTTCATTGAAGCCATTCAAATCACGATCCCACCACTCCTCCAACTCCGCATCCACACACACCTCAGTACAGAAGTAGCAGCCATTGCTTCACAAAAAGCAATAATTACCCTCTCAGCTCTCCTTCTCTCCATTATTCTCCTACTCATCATCTGCTTCCACATTCGCCTGCTTCCGCTGCACAATAACTTAAAAATGAAACCGTAAAAAACTTTCATCTGTGGCCTCCATGTTTATTTCTGACTTCTCCTTCTTTACCTCCGTACACAGCGTGCAGCGTGTGACTACTTGTTTTTCTGAGAATGCGAATCACATCAGGGCCATGATCTGTTCACATTGGAGTCTGATACTGGTCACAGTTTAAAAGATAATTAGAACAGCTACAGGAAAAATAAAAAATAAAAATCACATCTTGAAATAAATCAGAATTAAGCAGGAGTCTGTGTCTAATGCAGAGTCATTTGACCCAGGAGTGAATGCAGATTGTATCCATTCGCATTGCAGTCAAAAGGCCAGAGGTTAGTGGGGTTTTTGACCAGTGTAAAACTTGGCTTGAGACAAAATGTAGGAGATCAGGTGAGGAAGTGCACCAACAGAGTGATAGAGGTGCTGTCGTAAGACAGAGCCAGATGTCCCTGCTCTGATAGAGCAAATTACACATTTGATAATTTATCACCACGGGAGGAATACAGAAAAAATGAAGAGTCTGGGCTGTGATTGCTTTGTGCGCGGGGATGGTAATGTCCGACGCAATGGCCGAGAGGGAGCATTAAACTGCATGGTTCAAGTATGTGGGGACAGACCGTGGAGTCACTCTGTGGGCAAGCATTAGTCACTTGAATTGAATTTTGGCTGCAGTAGGTAGCACGGGGAGGTCAATGAGCAGCAGTGTGACAGATTAATTCAAGACCAGATGCCCTGCTGCATGCTGGGCCTTGTATAGGGGTTTTACTGTGTGTGAGGGGAGCACCACCAGAGGAGCATTGCTGTAGTCGAAGCGAGAGAATGAAGAACGCCCTGCCCGAAGAGCTGGGTGGCACTGAGACAGGTAAGGCCTGATTTTCTCATGTCATTTCCAGGTTTCGCATGACCTTGGATGGGGTGAGAGATGAAAAGGTGATTTTAATATAGTGATGGAGAGATTCACAGGCAGGGATGACTAAGAGATTAGTCGGTTTTAAAAATGTCAGGATAGCAGATGTAAGAATCACCAGACCTGAACAATCGTCTCCGTTTGCCAAGTGAGATATGACCTTTAGTATTAATTATAATAAGTGCGATTTGTGGGCTTGAGGCTCATAATGAAAGTACTGACCAGCCTGTAGTTATGTAACATGTTAAAAAGCAGCCATTCATCATTGGGCAGCAGGGTGGTACTTTTCTGGAGGTTTTTCCTAAAGCTTTTTAAAGATGGATTTCAAATCCGCCTCAACCATAACCTGCTTTTTAAACTGTTCTATTTTCCAGGGCCTTCATTAAATCATTTAATCCTTCACCTCATTTAGAAATAACAAGTTTTATCATTTATACTTTTATACTGTTTCTATTCTTTGTTTTACCCTTTTTAATGTTTTTTATGCTTAGGATTTGTACTTTTATGCTTCTTTTTTTCATACATAAGTACAATATAATACAACAATATAAATAATATGTACAATATAATGACCTATGTGTATGATATACAATTCATTTGCCTTCAACTGTCCACTTTCTCATGATTCTGCAAGTTCTGATACATTTTATTACCTTTTACCACACTTATGCCTCTGTTTGAGTTTTGGCTACAACTTTGACTTGTTACAGTATTTTTTAAGCTATTGAGCCAAACATTCACTGGTTCTAGAAACTTGAATATTTGTTAGTTTTCTGTGCTGATAAAGTGAAAATCTTTAGGTGTTGGACTGACATTAGGACAAAACAAGACTAATGTACCACCTCGGGCTCGAGTCAGTCATGGAGACCACAGTTTTATTGTGTAAATAATTCAGAAATTGATTAAAAAAACCTTCTTGGGATTAAACTATAATATTTTTTGTAATAAAGTACACAGTTAATATCCCTGCACAGCTTGTGCACTGTCTCTGCTGCTCTGCACAATTACAACCACAATTCAGGTATTCTGTCATTGTCAGACTCCTGTGCAAGTTATAATACATTATGCAAATTACCTGCTATTATGCAAAGCTTTGCTGGTGTGAAAAAAGAAACTCATCTAAAGTAGGTTACAAACTGCACTGAAATATCTCTGCAGCAGGATTGTTGTTGGGGTCAGAGTGAGGCATCAATATACATTTAGTGAACAGAATATTAGCTCAAGAGTTGGTGCATGTGTGTAAGTGTGTATTTTAAAAATCAGAAGATGCTGAGACCGTATGATTAGAAACATTTGCTTAACGTGAAAACATTTTCTCCTTCTTCCCCCACGGTTTTGGAAATTTTCCGAGAGATGTTACCTCATAACACTAACAAACATGAAATCTAACAAAATGAAGTGAGTAGAAAAGAATTGATGGAACGATCAAGCTCTTCTTCAAAACTCATTATGGGTTTAAAAAAATAAGGAACTAACCATGTAGCAGCTGATGCATCAATACACACTGATTTATCTGCCCTGTCTCTAATGACCCGACACTCACACTCCCTGTCAATACAGAGAAAGCATCCCCCAGCTAGAGATTACACAATACTAACACAAGAATGGCAGATGAGGCCATTTGTCTAGATTGGACATTCGTTTTGTTATGTTTGATTCTGTGATGTTGAGATCAGAACTCAGAGGAGGCTGCAACATATTTGTCGTCTTGTCTGAAGATGGCTTTTTAAGTCTCTGGTCGTATGGGTTCAGTGTTATAATTCGAAGGATTGGGCAGTTCTAAACCCGGCTTTCATGAGCAGACCATTGTTGACTGGATCAAATTGGTCTTCCTCCACAAGGCACACACACACACACACACACACNACACACACACACACACACACACACACACACACACACACACACACACACACACACACACACACACACACACACAATCAAAAGACAAGTGAGAGACAGCTTGGTGGCCTCCATGAGAGTAAACAGGAATATTTTAATAAATACATTTCCTGTTGCTTTAATTTATGTAAGTAAGAGCGGCAGCCGACTTCTTCCTGTCAACAGCAGAGACGAGGGAGAGAGAGCGTGCCAGTAAACCCCCCCTGAGGTAAACTGGACCCCTTCTCCAACAGATTCCAGTTCACATGAAGTGCTGTGTGGTAAACAGATGGATTTGGCTGCAAAAGGAGTTTCACAATCAGACTCACACAAGCTGAGACAGTTTCACAGCAGGAGAATTCTGGAAGCAACCCCCCTCCATCTGGTGACAGGAGGGCGCACGCACGAGTGTGTGTGTGTGTGTGTGTGTGTGTGTGTGTGTTTAAGTCTGTGCGCTAATTGCTAGAGCTCGGCACCTTTTATATCAGAGATAATTAGGGAAAGAGAGCAAAAAAGAAAGAGCTCCTGAAGTCTGTGCTTTCTTCTGTTTGCTCATATATTCTCTCTCTCTCTCTCCTCCCTGCGAATGACGCTGTCTGCCCACTCTTAAGGGGGAGAGAGAGGAACAGAGAGAGAGAGAGAGAGGAGGGACACCGAGCAGCACAGAGAGCCAGTTTGTTTTCAGCTCCCAGTTCACTGTAGCTCCTCTGCCAGACAGGACTCACCCATCCACCATCACACACATTCCCCTCTCACTGCACGACAGCTGACAACACCTTTTCATTTTCTCGGCAGCACCACACACTCACACAGCCTGATTCGAGAGAGAGAGAGAGAGAGAGAGAGAGAGAGAGAGAACAAACAGGCTCCATTTGTGCTGCTCACATGCAGAAGCACCAGCTCTGAGGAGGCTGGTCCAAGGCTGGAGACGCTGACTCGAGAATGGAATGGAACTTCGGAAGGATGGAGAGTGAACTGAGGCACATCAACCCAGACCTGCTGCAGCCCAGCAAGAGCTTCAAGAAGCCCTCCTCAGGCACCATCACCCTCAATGTTGGGGGGTTCCTTTACACTGCCCACCGCACCACCCTCGCCAAGCACCAGGGATCCTTTCTGGAAGAGTTGGCCAATGGCAAGAAGGCAGTTCAGCACACTGACTCCATGGGTAATCCATTCATCGATAGAGATGGTCCAGTTTTTCGCCATGTGCTCAACTACTTGCGAACTGGTGACCTCCAGCTACCTGATGACTTCCGGGAGGCGGGGCTCCTGCGGCGGGAGGCCAACTTTTACCATCTGAGTGAGCTCGTGGAGGCCGTGGTTGACTGGGAGAGCCAGAGGGCGGCCCAGAAAGAACCCGCCTTTTTGGAGGTGACGGACAGCCACGAGAGGTCGCAGGGCCTCAAGGTGTACTGCAGCGACCCCACCTTCATCGACAAGGTGAAGGGGCGGCTGGTGCAGATCTCCAAGAGCCGCCTGGACGGCTTCCCTGAGGAGTTTGTGGTGTCGTCCAATGTGATCCAGTTCCGGCACTTCATCAAATCGGAGCCCGGCTCTCGGCTCGTCCTGAAGGAGGACAGCACATTCTTGTGCACGCTTGACTGTCTGAAACTGGAGACGGTGATGCTGGCACTGAGATCGGGCTTCAAACTGGTCACCAGTCTCGACAGCAGCAAAGGATCAGTGGTGGCGGCTGAGGCCCTTCACTTTGTCAAGTAGGCACGGAGGCAAACAGAGAGAGGAGAAGAAGCAGTGGAGAAAGAGTAGTGCCTGATTCCAATCCACCCTGCTAATGTAAGGTATTGGCTTGAAGGTTGTGTTATGTGTCATGGTTGGGAGGAGAACAGGCGGACGGGACTGTATCACAGGACCAACCTTTGCACTGCTTTGTAAGCTAGTATGTATAGAATTTAGAGCTACTCAGCATTAATGCTATCTAAATTGGATGTGGCGAGATATCATTCCCGCAAGCACCGCTCTGTGATCTAGAAGAAAAGCTTCCACGGAGAGGACAAAAGGATCAACCATCAACAGCTTTATCAGTGGATTCATCTCTGCACAATAACTGCTTCTGCCGTGATGTGCACTGTGGTGCCATTCAGCTTTTACTACAGTCTGCGCGTGCGTGTGCGTGTGTGTTGCTATACCCTGTGTGAGCTGTGTTTAGTTGGTTTAATAGCTTGTGTTTAGTTTATTAGCCTGATGGAGCATGATGGGAAAACCACAGAGCTCCGTGGTCGTCCTGGATGGACGAACCAACCTCACATCCAAAATCAGACTGAAGCGATGTGAACGGTTTCACACAATGTGTTGACAAGTTGAATTCAAGTGCAAAGAAGCGTGATTATTGTAAGGGCTTTGAATCTAGCATGATGCATGTGCACTGAATGAACTGTGTGTGTGTTAAGTGCTGTGAGCCTCTGTGAATCCGGTGCCACAACAATGTCTGTGAATATTTTACCAATAAAAGTGACGATGAAACTACCGGCTCAAAGTGTTTTGAAGGGTATCTGGTTTAAAGCAACTGTATTCTGCTTGAATCCAACAGTATATAACAACAGGTATGTAGATATCTATTCAAACCCAGTTTGGTCTGTAAAGTGTGTTGGCTCCACTGAGCCTGGCAGCACAATTAAAAGTATTTTCAGGACCTTCTCATAACATCATGTTAGATTGACTGATTGACCTCTCACTTTCAGCTTTACCATTTTCTTTTAGAAATCAGTAAAATTTTACTGCATTTTACTACATGTGAACAAAATTGAACAATATTTAATGTCTAGAATAATAATTGTAATAAAATTCAAAGATCACATAGAACACCACTTTGTTGCTCCACATGTCAGAATAGTGGAGAGTGTGTAAGGGAAGGTTTTTTTGTCCTGTTTTTGACAACTAATAGTGAAAGTGGCTTTGACTGATTAATGTCACTGGAGACTTTTCAGCTTCAGCTATATATACTACTTAATTTATCTTAAATACTTCGTCTTGCATTTACTCAATCAACCAAATTTTAATTTGTATAGCCCATATTCAAAAATCACAATTTTCCTCAAGGTGCAACATCCTCTGCCGTTAACCCTCGACTACACTGAGTAAAAACGAACAAAATTTTTTTTAACAGAAACCTGAGAGAGACAACAGCAAGGTATCCCTCTCTCAGGACGGACAGTGCAATACATAGTGTTGACCCCACTTCTATACTTGATTTTCTTCAGGTATATATATACAACTATATAAGTATATATATACGTTTAGTATTTACTTAACTTTTTTATACTTTATTGCTTTTATTCTTTTTAATTATTTATTCTCTGTTGCTGTAACATAGGAGAAATATTTGGAACAATCATTTCCTTCAGGATTGATAATGTTCTATCATATCGTACATGTACAGTTATATAGATAATCCTACATGTATATACTCAAACACACAGGATAAGATATGTTTACATTGCATGGCTGAATGATGAACAGGCTCTTGGTTGTGGATAATGACAAAATTAATGTCTTAATAAAACAGTCTGATGGAACAATCTCTGTCTCACATTATCAATTAACAATTCAATTTATCACGAACACAGGAAGTTTAACTTGTGTGCTGCCACCAGCGTAAAGCAGCTCCATCTACAGAGGCCTTCAGGGAGCCTGTTCAAACTAAACTCTCCAGATCCAGGAAAGATACTTGCTGTTTTTAAAAGTAGGCCAGTCTGAGATGAATCCTGCCTTCATTATCTGATCAAGATGCCTCCTGGGCACCTTCCATTGGAGGTTTTTTCAGGCACACCCAACCAGGAGGGGACCCTGAGGTAGACCCAGAAGTTACTGAGGGGCTACACATACCATCTACTCTAGGAATGCCTCAAGACGCCAAAGGAGGAGCCACAGAGAGGGACGTCTGAAACATCCTGCTCAGCCCGAAGCCTCCACGACCCCATCTGAGATACGTGGAAGAAAATGGATGTACAGACGGATGGACGGAGCCTTATTCACCCACTTTAAGCGAGTATAGAGGTGGCAAACGCCTCAAATTCACTTCTAAGGCAAATAAAACATTTTCTTTCTGTGGCAAAGCATGGAGATCATCTTTGGTAGATTTAACCTGCGATCTTCGCTTCACATTTACTTAAAGTGTCATACAGGAATGCCCCAAGCTTTTGACAACCTTAATGTTGTTGTCTTTCTCTGAGAGGAGGTCATTTTCCACCACTGCTTTGATTTGATCAAGGAAAATGTGCCTTATAGAATAGATGTGATAAAATTATTTATTAAAATATTGTGTATTGATAATAATAGACAGTGACCTAAATCAATAATTAATTATCAAAGTTCAAAAAACTTTACATTGTACTCCAATAAGTTATTAATGATCTTCCACAAAAGGTTTTGGAAATGCAAGGGGCACAAAAATGTGGCACAGAGGCAATAATATCCTAATTTACATTTACTAAATGAGTAAGCATAAACATATACACAGGCATTATATTCCCTACTGGATCGTACGTCAACAACAAACTTTTTTTGTACTGCACATAGATCAAAAATCCTTGAATATAAATAAGGCTCATTGAAATGAATGAGAAAATTCTAGTGCTTCTCACCTAGATGAACTGCAGCTCCCTGTTTACTTGTATGCGTTTACAGGCAGACGCGTTGACACAGCTACAGGCAGAAGTGTCCCAAGTGGTGTCTGTGTTTATATGTCAAGCTCCAAAAAGGCTGAGTCCCACTTTTCCCATAATACAACTCTATTTAACCTTTCGATATCCTAAATGCCAACATCTTCCAAAAACCATGCCCCAGTTTGAAACACAAGGCTTCAGCGGACTAAATGATAAGCAGTCACAACAAAATGCTATACTCGTGTGTCATGGCTGCATGTAAGGACAGAAAAGCTGCTTTGGCAATGGCTGAAGTTGCCGGTGCCAAAGCAAATGCAAAACAAGCCTTGCCTGGTTTGCATCCAAACAATGTGAAGCAAGGATGCGTCAAGATCCCTTTATGGAAACTGGTGGGAGTAGAAATGTTTAAAATGTATTAATTCCGTGCGCTGAAAAGCACTTTTCTCCGCTAGAGTTTGTATTCCTGCCGCAGTGAAGAAGCCTCAGTAGAACAATTTCATTTGCCTCTTAGACTCGCCTTGCACACTTTTAAAAGACGCTGAGAGCCACAGGCAGACACCTCTGAATGAGCAGCAGCAAACAATTTAACCCTCTGTGACGACTGAAACCATCTGCTCCAGCAGGCAAAGACATCAAACCGCCGCCAACCCCACACGAGTCATGACTCATACACCCACATCAACCCCTGACATCAGGCGAACCTCATCCACAGCCCACTCCTCACAAACAAGCACAAAAACACACATGTAGTGGCCACGTGCGACAAACTGAATAAACTGGGTGAACCCACGCTGTTCACACGTCAGGCACACCACTGACACCGGCAACAACATCAAGCCCCAGCCCTTTTTAATTGCACATCAGCACCATGCATTTTTTATGCAGGCGACTGGTTTAGTTATAAGTCAAAGTGAACCGCTCCTCGTCAATGGCAAGCAAAGGAGAGCGAGGGGCAGGTGAAGAAAGAGGAGCGAGGTGGTGACAGTGTTATCTCCCTCTTTTCACCTGTTGCCGGGCAAACTCAACTACACACACTCTCTCTTTCTCTCTCTCCAACACACACACACACCCCTTGTCATGATGCCTCAGTGTGGTGCCGCTTGGCCTGAAAATGACTACCATACCTCAATTTCTTTTAATCTTTCAACTCCAGAAAGGACAAGCGTGAAGAAGAGGATGATGAAGAGGAGGAGGAGGGAAGGTGAGGCCTATTCCCTACACGTCCACTCTCAAAAGAGGCAGCGGCGGCCATTATTCACGCTCAGAGAGAGATGCAGAGAGGTAGGGGGCCACTGCGACACAGTGAGTTGAGAAAAACCTCTTCAAAAATATACTGAGATGATTTTACACTGAAGCTGCCAATAGTTGATACTTTAAATCTGATTTTTCAAGTGTTTCACCCAAGAACTGTACTTTTTCCTCTGGGTATAAAAAGCACCTGAAACAGCACTTGATGTAAAATGTATCAAGAATCTTTTGCTTCAGATTCAACCCTGAGGACTTTTTTTTTTTTACAAGATGAAAGGAAAAAATACTTTCAGTGAAGTGAGACAAATCCATCTGTTCTCACTGCAGTTACACTTATTGCTCGAATTTTCAGTCCATATCTCGCAACTAGACAAAAAATGTTTTTGTATCAAAAAATGATGTAATCATGGTATATAGAAAATTTAACATTTAATTCAATACAATCTTTCCTTTAGAGTACAATGTTGATGAATTATATAATTCAGTCGTTATCTGTGAAGGTATTTTCCAATTTCCCAGAGCCGATTTTTAAAGATAGGAAAAATTTGTTTGGCAATTTGTCAAATTTTTGCTTCAAGGTAACTTTAATAATTAATAATTGACTATTAAATTAAATCATAGACTTTAAACAAAGATGGACAACATTACTGCTCCTCAAAAGTGAGGCCAAAGCATCACAATCGCCCCCTGGTGATTGGCTGCAGTATAGCACAGACACCCCATCACTAATATGTGAATGGACATGGACCAAATTAAAAAAGTCAAAATATTTATGAAAGACGGTTTCTGTGATTTAAGAAGTCCAAGTGTTTTTTCTAGTATATCTTGGTTTTAGCTATTTGAGGCTATAAAAAATGGGTGAAACTTGATTGACAGCGAGACTGACTCACAATTGGTCAAGCTGATGTATTTGGATACTGCGGCTCCATCACCTGATCGCTGCTGTGCAGAATCTGGCCCATAAAGACATAATATTTTGGTTTTATTTCTGGATAGTAGGATTGGAGACACGACATGATTTACTAGCAACAGGATGTAAACTCGTCACTGGTTTTGATGATGAAGCTACACTGACATTTGTGAGAATAATGCTGCAAATTCTTTTCCAGAGCCACGTCTCACACCTGTCTATCACACCTGAATTATGACTCACTGGAAGTCTCACACCTAAACTCTTACACAGAGCCAGACGTTCAATATGTGGCATTAATCAAACAGCTTTCCATTTTTCTTCACTGCTCCACTTTAACTGAATCTGAGCGAAAACATCCTCAGCTCAGGCCTGAATTCAACCCTGAAACCCTGGAAACTGAACGTCCGTTTTTTTGTTGCCGTTAAGTAAAATCCTCCCACGCAACAAAAACAATTTTATTCTCTCACTAAAGTCATACACACATTGTGCACTGTGTGCCTTGCGAATGTAGGAACCGCCATCATATCAGATGTGGACAAATCAGACAGGCTATTATTATACTTTTAATAAAGAGCTAATATCTGTCTTAGTTTGCAGCCAGCTCATGCACTGGTCTGACAATAATGTAGTGCTTTTTTATTCATATGTCAGCTTGCACAAGTTCCTACAAAGACAGTAGCCAACTCTAATCT